GGGTAAAGTGCAAAAAAAAAAAAAAACCCATGAACTATTGGGGTTTTGTAAGAAACCCCCCTGAACTACAAAAAAACCCCTCTAAACTATGATTTTGTTGCAATTTACCACATGACGTCATCTTCCGGTACCAGAAAATAGAGAGAGACCATTTTACCCTTTTCAAATACTGCGTCATTTTAACTTATATATTTCTTTCTTTTTTCTTTTTCTTTTTTTTTTCTTGCCAAAAGATGATGTTCACCAAACACAACCCAAACCAGAGAGCGTAGAGAGAGAGAGAGAGAATAGACCAGAGAGAAAACCAAAGAAATCATGGCAAAAGAAATAGAAGAAAAATAATCATAAAGAAAGAAGGCAACATCTATAAGAAATCATCACCATCTTCTATGTTTTCATGTGTCAATGGATTGAAATTTTTGGAATTTGACCTCGGCGGGATGGCTTGGCCTCGGACGATGGTGGCTTGTGCACGGAAGACTCGGCTGTGATAAGAGCTCGGAAGGTGGAGAGCTCGGTTGACTTGGCCGTGAAGAAGAAGCTTAACTGCAGATGGAGGCGACGGCGAACTCAAGGGGGCTCAGCGGTGAACTGTGGAGGACGGCGGCGAGCTTGGCCGGTGAGGTTCGGAGCTGAACACGAGCCTCTAGAACCAAAAAGGAGCAAACCCAGAAAATTAATGCCGGCGAGGTGGGTATCCCAACACCGCAACCACCCACCACCAATACTGCGATGGTGCATGGGTCCACCTTCCATGGCCGTTTTGATATTCTCTCTCTGCAACGGTGCTCCCTAATACACGAATCTTCGATCTACGGTGAAGATGGGTCATCTCACTCACGATGACGAAACTGACGATTAGGGTTTCGGGGCAAGGAGCAGCGTCGGTATTGATGAATGGCTCTTAGGGTTTGATTGGAACCAATACGGCCTATGGAAGAGGTCAGCGGTGGTGATGGGCAGGCTGTGATCAAGCTATGGCAGAAGAGACCCACCGATCCAAGCATCAGATTCCTCGGCTTATCCAAACACTCCTCAGACGACATCCACCACTCTGATCCCAGCCACAGATTCCTCGGCTTCATCGTCCCTTTCAGTATCAATTTGCGCGGTCACAAGATCTCTTATTCTTGTAACCCAAAAACTTGAATGCCCTTTAATTGGACTCAATTAGAGTAATCAGGAAAGGGAATTTCACTATTGCTCGATCTCTCCGTTCTCTCATTTCACCAAGGCTCGGCCGTGAGGAAGAAATGCGGCGGTTAGAGGAACGGTCGGCAAGTATGAATCCAAGCTTCTTGTTCTGTAAATGGGTTTTGATTTTTTGATTTTTTGATTTTTTTTTATTTTGATTTTTTGTTGTTGGTCTGTAAATCTAAACAGGTCGATGGAGGAAGAAGACAATTAGTGAATTAGTGAGGGCTTGTTTGGGTGTTTCATGGGCATTATAGTCTTTTAAATTTGATAAGGGTTGTATGGTTATTTACATAAATTTGGCTACTCACGTGCAAGGAAATTGATTAGTTGGTTGCCGGATTGGGTAAAGTGCTTAAGGGGGTTTTTTGTTCATTTTGAAATTTAGGGGGGGGGGGGGGATATAGTTTAGGGGGGTTTAATGCACTTTACCCTAATTTTAAAGGGGTCCAACTTTTGAACTATGCCCTTGATTTCAAAAGTGACATTGAATGACAGAATTTAATTCCGTTATTAAAGAAACTAGGGGTGTACACGGTCCGGTTTGAACATGATTGGAAGTTTTTTGGGACCAAAGCATTTATAATGGTTCCACTATCTTTGAAATCAAATTGAACCATAATGCCTATAGAACCAAACCAAATCAAACCACGAAAAATCAGTTCGGTTCAGTTCGCTTTGTCGGTTTCAGTTTATTTTCTTTTTATTTTATTTTTTTTAAAAAAAAAGAATTTCTTATTTTTCACCCTATATAATACATCAACAGGGAACCGACAATACGGTATATATAATTATTATATATATTTTTTCTGATACAATTTGACAAACACTACTCTTTCACTTTAGTGTTTAAAGAACCAATAATCTCCTTTGGTCCCTAATGGTTGTGCTTTATTTTTGCACCAATGGTCTCTGATTGTGTAGTTTTTTATTGTTTGGTAGTTTTCATATGATATTTTTCTTATTATGGCCCATCTTTTCGTTTTCTTTATCGCTCTCTTTACTAGCTTTTATCGTGGCTTGAGAAAAGTTAAAAGAATATGTACAGCCAAAATTATAAGTTATATCATTTCTATAAATATATATATATATATATATATATATAATATAATATAATATAATATAAGTTATATAACGGTTTGGTCTGGGCTGGGTCGACCACAAACTGAGACCGGACCGTAAAATTACGGTTTCATAATTTTGAGCTCAAGACAGGACCAAACCGCTATACAACTAGTCCAAACCGTCCAATTCAGTTCGGTCTAGTCCGATTTTTCGGTTTACTGAATTTTTTGAACACCCCTAAAAGAAACCTCACTTTATAAATAAATAAAAGACAATTAACCCCAATGTTTTTTTTAAATAACAACTACTTATACTAGGCATAATGTATTAATTAGGGGAAAAATCACACAACCCCCATCTACTATTATTTTCGTCCAAAAAAACCCCACTAAAATTAAACACCCCCCTAGACTAAAGAAATGCTATCAAGTTATCATATATCCGTGCCCCACCCGTTTATTAGGTTGTGAAATGATAAAATTAACCTTATAATTTAATATTAAATTAAAAATTGATATTTATTATTGTAAAATTACAAAAATGCCCATATTCTTCTTCTCTTCCTCTTTACTCTCTCTCTTCTAAATCTGTAAAAAAGGAACACCCAGAAAAACCCATATCGAATTTGGTTGAAAATCTAAAGAAAAAGAACAGAGTTTTAGGCTTCGTGTGGATATACAGGAGATAAAAGAAAGGAAAGGATTATGAGAGAAAATAAAAGAAAAGAAATGATAACTATAATTTATATTCATGTTTAGATAGATAGGAGAGAAAATAAAGGAATTGGTAATATTGTTATTTGGATAACACAAATGAGATAAAAGAAGGGAAATGATAATAATGAAATTACCATCTTACCCTTTTGGATAAGGTTAGAAGGGCAAAATCATTTCAGCCTCCCTAATCGCCTCCATCTCTCTATTCTCGTTCTCACAGATCCCTTCCCCCCCTCTCTCTCCAACTACAAATTACAAAATCTACAAGAATCAAAAGATCAAAACTCATATTGGCATATCGTTTCAGATTGTTCCAAAAATCAAAACCCATATTTTTCAAGCTTGCCCGCCTCTCTTCGCAACTGCTAACTTGTACGTAAAATTACGGTCTCATTCTTAGCCTCCCTCTCTCTCTCTCTCTCTGCAAACTGTAAAAATCAAAACCATATTCGCATATCATTTCAGATTGTTAAAAAAAAATTAAAACCCATATCTATCAGTTTCCATCACCCGCTGTTTCAGTTCGGTCGTCGTTCGCAAAGCTTCAGCCGGTTGTCTCTCAACTCTCTTACCCCTTCTGTAATTTGTTTTATTTCTCTCCGAATCCCTCCAAATCTTGTCAATTTTGGAAGAATTGCAAACGAGGAATTTGGAAGAATAGCTCCCAATCCTTTCTTTTCTCTCTCTTATTTTTCCCATTCAAATATTTTTCCCATTCAAATACCCTAATCACTATCCATCTCTTTCTTTTCGGTCCAAATTCCTTTAAATTCCTTCATCCAAACTGAGAGGGTGAGAGAATGTGGTTTTTTAGAGAGAGAATAAAAATAGGTTGCTGTTATTCAAGAATAGAGAGAGAAGAGATGGTGTCAAGATGCAAAGCTAGAAAGAGGTACATGAAACAGTTTGTAAAAGCGAGACAAGTGTGATGCAGTGCATCACACAGTAAGTATCTAAGGTCACTCCGGAAAGAGGACTCCAAGGCCAACGCGCGCGTCGTCGAGATCTTCGCGAGCCACCACCACGCGTGGCAGCAGGAGGAGAAGCGGCTGTTGCGGCAGATCGACGCCGCCGCGGAGGAGATCGCGCATCTGAGGGCGAAGATTGAGGTGTTAGAGAAGGTGGAGGCTGAATTGAAGGCCAATGTGGACGAGCTGAGGCGAGAGGGGGTTTCTGGGTGTGGAAAAATTAGGCCAATGTTTTACTCAATTCTAAAATTCAAAGTAAACTCCGGTCGCCGGAAAATGATTGTCTATGCCATTGATTTTCAAAAAATCTTTGTAATATGTATAGTTGGAATTTTTCTTGTTACAAATAATCTCTTGGAGCATCAATCCAGAAGGATTTATTGGCTATGAATTTCAAAAATTTGTACTTACCTATTCACATTGTAACTCCCAATTCATCAATAATCTTTCTATTAGAGTCCACATTGTAACTCCCAATTCATCTGATCCTCTGTTCTTCCCTAACTGGAAATTTGTCTTTATTCATATATCTATAATTTAAAGATATTTTTATCTTGTTTGTGACCACTCATCACTGAAGGTTTGTGTCTATACTCCTCAGAAGTTATATATATATATATATATATCATTCTTACTTTAAGAGAAGAGGACCAATGTCGCCGGAGAAGAAGGCCAACTTATGATGGGTATTTTCATAATTTCATAATAATAAATATCAGTTTTAAAATAATATTAAATTATAAAATTAATTTTGTCATTTTACAATGTAATACGGATATATCTGATGATTTGATAACATCTCTTTAATTTGGGAGTTTTTAATTTTAATTTGGGAGCTTTTTTTTGAACAAAAATAATTTTTAATTTTAATTTGGGAGCATTTTTTTGAACAAAAATAATAGTAGAGAGGGTTATGTGATTTTTTTCTTATTAATTATCTATAAGCTTTTTTATCTCCAAACGCAGCAATTTGTGTTCTGTCATTGCGGTCTTTCCAGTGTTGAGGGTTCTGTGAAATTGTAGTTTTCTTTTGTTTCTTTTTTATTTTGGCTTTGAAAAATAAAAAATAAAAAAATACTGTTGTTCTGCGAAATAATTTAAACCTTGTCCTCAATAACCCATATCCATTGCAGAAAAAAAAAAAAAAAAAAACAAAAAAAAATCCATTTAAATTGCTCAACCATTACTTCACCGAAAGACTGCCCCATAATACAACTGAAACTAGTGAGAATTAAACTTCATTGCACAGACACACATACACTGATTGCTATTCAAAGCCTATCTATTCCACTGCGTAATAGAACTTAATTCCACAAACATATATATATATCACAACTATATATTTATATATATATATAGCCATATAAGATTTTAGGGTGATGGGGTCGAATCAATTAAGGGCACTTGGTCTTGTTGCCGTGAGTAGTCATGTCGGTGTAGCACCTCCCACACATCTCTCTGTTCCCTGAAGTGCCCGGTGGTACACACTTGCACCGTGCGCAGCACGTGCCACACGCTCTCGTGCACACGTTTGGCCTCGAGTGCAAACTGCACCGATTCTTGCACAGCCCCCCACAGTCTGCAAATTGCAACGCATACATAATCTAATAATTTATTCATACATATATTATACATACATATATACGTACATTTATTATATATATATGGTGAGAGAAATTACCCAAATATGGCAAAAGCCTTCTGTTAGCACCTTTCCCTACCTGAAAATTAAATAAATTTGAGTATATACATGCAGCTAGAGAAATATATATATATATATATATATATAGGTAAAGTAGTGGTTTTAATGAAACCTGGATTTGATGGTCTTCAATCTCAACATCAGATGAGACCTGTTTCGAGCATATCAAAGTAAAATCAACAAATTAAAGCACTGTATATCTTCTAATAATCTAGTGGTTTAATTTGAGAAAATATAAAATAAAATAATTACAGGCCAAGAGTACTAGTGTCTAGTCTCTACCTGAGTAACACAGAAGAGCAAAACCGCCATTAGAATAAGCAAGCGTGAAGCCATTTTTGCTGCTAATATAAACTATTACTTGTCAGCAGTATATACTGAGAGTTGAAGCTTTGGGACTTGTAAGAGAGGTTTAGGTCGTCAGTGCAAAGCTCTTTATAAAGCCTTCCAGTGTCACATAATTACAAAATTGCCCATGGATTTTTATTCTTTTTACAAGACAAAAGTTAAACCCACCATATCCTCTTTCTGACAACTAATGTGGTTGGTATATATAGTGATGTGTTAATTAATGTTCCAAGAACACACCTTATGTTATGTTCAAGCATGACATGAAGCTAGATCCATTGGACCAACTCAAGCTCGCACCTATATTTTCAATTTGGAGTAGTATTAACTTTACAATGTGACATTTATTAAGTATATATATATATATATATATATATATATTGTAAATATAACTCTATATAAATTTCAAAATTAAAATTATTAGAAAAACCATTATTTGATGTCTTTTGATGAACTTACTACCAATTTACCAATACAAGTTGTCCAATAGTACAAAAACGTTACCTAAAGGAAGGGGAGTTGAAGAGAGAGGAAAAGATACCCGTACCTTAGGGCTGAGGGTATTACTACATATTTGAAAAATGAAAAAATATTTCATGCCAAAGGTTGTATGTGTAAGTTTGCATGGTTATATTTTTTCATCTTGTAAAAGTAGAGTGTTTGAGTCTCTATAAAGACATGTGTGTGCATCTTGCAAAAGTTATATGGATTAGGAGGAATTATACGGTGAGAAAATATATGTTTATAAAAATATAAATAAAATATGAATATAAGAAAGTATGCGGTGTTATAGAGGGATGAAGAACTCTTTTGTAAAATTAGTGAATAGAAAGAATATTCTAGGAGATCAGAAAATTTGTAAATATGTATATATACACTTAAGTAGGGAGTTCTAAATACTAAATCTTAACCATTGATTTTAATGTATGGGGTAGGATTCACAAATGTAATGAGAAAGTGAGTGAGATGCTTCATCTTTTATTCAAAATTTTCATTTACATAATTAAAAGATCACACAAATTCATCTTTAGATTTCTTCTATATTTTTGCTCAATATTAAAACTTTACCATGACCAATTTTTTGATTTGGAGTTCAAGGTCAAATTAAATGTCAGTATATTCTGTTCGTGTTAATTGAGTAGTTTTTCGAGAATAATCCTGTTTTAGGATTTATGGGATTTATCTTGTGTTAAATGGGTGTCAACAAAATTCACGTTTGCCCTTTTTACATATCTACAATTCTCAACTTTCATTAATTGAAATAAACTTGTTTTAGTAGTATTTAGTAATATAATAATGTTAATTATAATATAGGTTTACTTTTACTTTATTTTTTTAAATGAATTTTTTCTATTAATTTTCCCACCAATCATCTCTCCAAACCATCATGAATTTCGATCGATCAGAGCAGCATAGATCGGGATACTTCAAGATGGATCCAAGTTTTTGTTCTTATCCAAAAGATTTCATCATGTTCGATCGATCTAACTCATCTTCGATCGACGATCTCATCCACACCTACCACTCCACATATCACTTTTGTCTCTTTCTCAAAATATGTCAGAGATTTATCTTTATTCAAAACTTTGAAAAGAATAGCCATATATCTTGCACATCTTTGGATGCAACAAGTGATGCTAGTTGTAGTTGGTGAACAAAACAGTGTACATAATATGCATATGAACATGTATAAACATGGGCCTTGGTCGCGTGCCATGTGTAGATTATAGTGACATAAAAAGTAGTTGTTACATAAGTTACACTAAGATGAAATGACCTAGAAGATATATAAGAGTTGAATTTGTAGACCCCATAGAAAAAATATATACGGAGAGATCAAAACCGGAAAACCCTTAAAAAATAAAAAATAAAAAAACTCCGTACTCGAGTTGAGTGATTCCAAATTATGGCTTAAATACTGAACTGAGTTTTCTGCTCCATAAGTCTGTGAGTCCGGCTAGGATTGGACTAGCAGCAGAAAGTAAGGTGGCAGTAGTCATCAGAGGACAGCTATACTACAGTTGGAGGGATGAGAGAGAGACACATATAGTCCTTTTTATCGACCTCGTTGAAGCCATTCCCTCCATTACTACGCACAAACTTTTAGAAAGAGAAAAAAAAAATATGAGAGAGAGGAAAAGACGACGCAAAACCGCGTAAAGTATGGTATGAGCTGCTCAGTGGCAGTGCTTTGCTCACATTGAGCTGTATGTAGCCCATTTTTGGAACCCTTGAATGCATCACACGACAAAAACTCTCCCCATTTGTTTTTTTTAGCATTAAAAAGTAGTAACGCCTCACCCTGCTTGTGCCTATCCTCATCCCAAATGCATGCATCGAAAGCCGAGCTCGTCCTCAAGTAATAGTGATCTCATTTCATGTAGTTGTCGTTGAGGATAGAAACAATTTCAATTGGATTTTACTATTTTATTAGTAGTAATTTTTATCCCATTTTGTGTTCGTACAAATATTCTATGATCTATTTCACACACACTAATGTTAATTACCTATTTGTCTTTTAGTGTCTATCTCATTTTATTATATCAAACAAATTAAGTAAAGCCCTTTGACAATACAAATAGTTTTGAAAAAACGATTTAAGATGTTTAATATGAGCTTAATCTATTGATTAGTCAATTCCGTTTATGAGGTGGAATGATGGAAAATAATTTTTTATTTTATTTTTTTCTTTTTCACACTAGAAAAGGAGTTTCTCAATCATTCAGAAAATACAATGTTCGAATTGTAGCTTTGATGGACACTATGAATGGTTATGTTCAATGGTGATGCTAAAATACTAAAACACTTAAAAATAAAAAATAAAAAAAAATAAAAAAACGAACAACTTTCAAGTTTCATGTTGAATCCAAGATCAACCCGAACACAGCTGGGATTTGAGAAAATCCAACCTGACATGAGTTCGATTTATGAATTTAAAAGTCCAAATTCCAGAATTTTCGAATTGGATTCGAATTGGGCTGAATTGGCCCGCCCAAGTTGCACCCCTTACATATTAGCATCAGCTTAACCTTGTGAAAGATAGGTTGAATCTGTACTAAGTTCTCAGGTTTTTGAGCAACAATTTCGCATACAAGTTCACACCCAAAACTACTCTCATTATAGTATTTTCCTTTCATGAAACATTTTCATCTATATGTTTGTTTTAGAGTGGATTTCAGAGAAAATCATATTTTCACTCCAATTCTTAACATATCTTCAGTGAATTGCAACACTTCAACATGTATGATCATGATTGAGACATATCTGGGAATGAGGATTTAGCCATAATTTGAATGGCCCACCTTGGTCCCCTACCACCCCTCTAACAGGATCCAGTTCACACTAAACAGTCCAATAACATTTTACAAAGTTCAATGCATATAGGAAGTAATATCAGCTGAACACAGAACCGAGCCCAGACTGAAATACTAAGCCCACCCAATTTGAGGCCTCAGGCAAAAAATAATAATAGTGGCCTTTTACTATGTACAATAATATATTAATAGATTCTTTGTATTTTTTTTTCTCAAGATTTTTTGCTGCAGCCACAGGTATCGTCAATAATATATTGTAAGCAATGCACACATTTAGAAAATAATCTAATCTTTTTGTGTAATTTAAAATTTTAATTGTAGTGTTTGTTTTATTCGTAAAATTTCTTTTAAAACTTTTAATTAGGCCACTAAACCGTAATATCAAAACACTCATGCTGTTTTAGAAAGAGTTTTAAATTAAGACTATTTTTTCAAATTATCATCATCTAATGATTTTAACTTTTTAAAATCAAACAAAAAAAATTATATTTTTAAGTATTCAAACCTACTATAAAATGAAGAAATTACTTGGTTGACTATATATATAAAAAATAATGGATCCGAAAATATTATTTGGCTTATCATTTACATTTTCATAAATAAAAAAATTTCCTACTCATAATGAAAAAGGAGAAAAAAATGTAAGAAATAAAATAAAATAATTAAAAAGAAATTTTTTTAAAAAGAATAAGGAAAGTTTCACAAATTTACACAACAATAGTTAAATGCATATTCAATAATGAGGGCTATGTAATGATAATGATGAAGGGAAAAAAATAAAATAAAAAATCAAACGTGAATGAAAAGAAGAAGAAGAAGAAGAAGAGTGAGATAAAGATGGACATTGTTTGGGTCCACTATTAAATATATATATTGGTTACTGGTTTGGGTCTATTAATGGAAGGAAATGGTTTTTTAGGGAAGTTATAAATAAGGAAATAAAAAATTTGGGCCTTTTTATGAGTTTAATAATAGAAGAAAATAAAAAAAATATTATTATATAAATATAAAAAATTTTGGAGTCTTTTTATTGGCCAAGTCTAATAATAGAAGAACATAAAAATTTTAGAAATGTTTAAAATTTTGGGGCTTTCCGGGTTCGACCAACCTATCACATATAAAATGCAAGTAAAATACAAATAAAATATCAGCTTTGTCTTTTGAATGTACAATTTTCACTAATATATATATACACACACACACACTTAAATCAATTATCAAAGGCAATTTAAATGCAACAAAAATAATATTTAATAAATTGATATAATATGATAAGTATGCAAAAAAAAAATGTACATTACATGATTTATTATATATTTATATTAATAGGGTAAGTGTAAGAAAACTTCCTCGTAACATGTAAAATGTGCAATTACCTTCTTATCGTTCGAAAAACCCCCTACTATTTTCAATTTGTGCAAATAAGGACAAATCATAATTTTGGTGATAAAATTACTCAATTAACCTTGCTTTATCATTAGCACCAAAAAAAAAAAAAAAAAAACATAGAAAAAAAGAAGAAGTTAAAAGACAAAATATTAAAATTACCCAGTATAAGGATTATAAATTAGTGTCATAATATTTACAACAAATCCTTCCAATACATTCAAAAATATCTATATATAAATCTATAGTTGCTAAAAATAAAAAAATTTATAGACCTACGTCACTAACTACACTGTCAATCTCACTTATCAATACTATTTTTTTTTTTTTTAACTGACTTATTAATGATTTTTGAGAAATTGTGCTAAACTAATAAAGTTTGGCTTGTGTGACGTTAAAATCTTGTGCTTGTTTATTATAAAGATCAGAATATTATAAAAATATCAACATTAATAAAATAAAATAAAATAAAATAAACAAATTTTTTTTCAAAAGGTGTTGCTTGAGTTAAGCTGATGCTAATATGTAAGGGGTGCAACTTGGGCGGGCCAATTCAGTCCAATTCGAATCCAATTCGAAAATTCTGGAATTTGGACTTTTAAATTCATAAATCGAACTCATGTCAGGTTGGATTTTCTCAAATCCCAGCTGTGTTCGGGTTGATCTTGGATTCAACATGAAACTTGAAAGTTGTTTTTTTTTTTTTTAAAGTGTTTTAGTATTTTAGCATCACCATTGAACATAACCATTCATAGTGTCCATCAAAGCTACAATTCGAACATTGTATTTTCTGAATGATTGAGAAACTCCTTTTCTAGTGTGAAAAAGAAAAAAAGAAAATAAAAAATCAAACGTGAATGAAAAGAAGAGGAAGAAGAAGAAGAGTGAGATAAAGATGGACATTGTTTGGGTCCACTATTAAATATATATATTGGTTACTGGTTTGGGTCTATTAATGGAAGGAAATGGTTTTTTAGGGAAGTTATAAATAAGGAAATAAAAAATTTGGGCCTTTTTATGAGTTTAATAATAGAAGAAAATAAAAAAATATTATTATATAAATATAAAAAATTTTGGAGTCTTTTTATTGGCCAAGTCTAATAATAGAAGAACATAAAAATTTTAGAAATGTTTAAAATTTTGGGGCTTTCCGGGTTCGACCAACCTATCACATATAAAATGCAAGTAAAATACAAATAAAATATCAGCTTTGTCTTTTGAATGTACAATTTTCACTAATATATATATACACACATACACACTTAAATCAATTATCAAAGGCAATTTAAATGCAACAAAAATAATATTTAATAAATTGATATAATATGATAAGTATGCAAAAAAAAAATGTACATTACATGATTTATTATATATTTATATTAATAGGGTAAGTGTAAGAAAACTTCCTCGTAACATGTAAAATGTGCAATTACCTTCTTATTGTTCGAAAAACCCCCTACTATTTTCAATTTGTGCAAATAAGGACAAATCATAATTTTGGTGATAAAATTACTCAATTAACCTTGCTTTATCATTAGCACCAAAAAAAAAAAAAAAAACATAGAAAAAAAAAAGAAGTTAAAAGACAAAATATTAAAATTACCCAGTATAAGGATTATAAATTAGTGTCATAATATTTAAAACAAATCCTTCCAATACATTCAAAAATATTTATATATAAATCTATAGTTGCTAAAAATAAAAAAATTTATAGACCTACGTCACTAACTACACTGTCAATCTCACTTATCATTACTAATTTTTTTTTTTTAACTGACTTATTAATGATTTTTGAGAAATTGTGCTAAACTTATAAAGTTTGGCTTGTGTGACATTAAAATCTTGTGCTTGTTTATTATAAAGATCAGAATATTATAAAAATATCAACATTAATAAAATAAAATAAAATAAAATAAACAAATTTTTTTTTCAAAAGGTGTTGCTTGAGTTTGTGTCCAGCCGAACAATAACTAGCTCAAAATTATAATTTTGATAGAAATCCTAAGTTTATCCGAACTGTTCGCGAACTCTCAATTTGGGTTTTGTTCGTATTCGTTTATTTACTAAATGAACTAAGCCCAAACAAGTCTGACACTCCCTACTTGGCTCATTAGTTCGCAAACGTTTTCGTAAACAAGCTTGTTTATGGGTTTGTTTCAAGCTCATTTTGAACTCGTTATGATTGTATTTTATGTACATATATATAATATAGGCCCCATTCTTTTAAACATTGGCTTAAGAAAATCTCATTTCAACCTAACCCAACCCAACCCAACCTAACCCAATTCATATAAAAAAATAACATAAAGTCCTTTTGAAAAAATAAAACAACCTAAACCCACAATTTTTTTTTGGAAGGTAAAGGGCCCAAACAGCTAACAAATATACGAACTAACAGTGGCCCATTCAGCAGTTGATAAAGACATTAATATCATAAGAGCCCTAGAATAGATATGTCTAAAACAACAATACATCCGGGACCGTTGTGAGATGAGGCCCATCCATGTTCACAGCCCATCCATATATAAACCCAAACCTTTCTTTCTCTCCTCATATCAAAACCTATGAGGCCTCAAAATTTATAGACCCATGGATGATGGGTCACCAAAAAACAAAATATTTTTAGGGCAAATCATTTCAGACTCCCCAATTGCCTCCATCTCTTACCAACCCCCCCCCCCCCCCCCCCCCCCTTAGGGCAAATCATTTCAGACTCCCCAATCGCCCCCCACCCCCCAAAATTTTCAGGGCAAATCATTTTAGACTCCCCAATCGCCTCCATCTCTATTCTCGTTCTCTACTCTGAACCCTTCCCCCCCTCTCTCTCTCTTTCTCTCTCTCTCCCCAACTGCAAACTACAAAATCTACAAAAATCAATTCAAAACCCATATATTTCAGTTAATCTCTCTTTCTGCAAGAATCAAAAGTTGAAAACCTATTACCTAAATCAAAACCCCCATATCGGCATATCATTTCAGATAGTTCCAAAAATCAAAACCCATATCTTTCAGTTTCCATCGCTCGTTGTTCCAGTTCAGGTTCGTCTTTCGCAAGCTTCAACTTGCCCCCCTCTCTTTCTCTGCAACTGCTAACTTGTATGTATGTGTTTTGTTTTAATTTTTTTTTCTAAATCAACTAACAAAGCTCTGTAATTCTTGTTTTGCAAACTAAAATTAAGCGTAATCTTGATTTTGTGTTAGGGTAAATTTGGCATCAGAAATAATACATCTCGCGAATTACTTCTGAATAAATTAACAAATCATATGTAAGAACCGTAGCATTTCGTGATTCATTGGTAAATCTACTTTGATTCTCTATCAACCAGTTATGTGGGACTCTTAAACATGGTTAAAGCTAAGCCGTTTGAAGTCTAAACGCAGCATGGTACTCTTTCTATCACTATGTTAATACAGAGAGGTTTCAAAATGAATATTTTTTTGGTCTCCTTCCATTTTTTTTTCCATTTCCTCCCATATTTATGAGAGGATAAGAAAATTACTGTTTATGCCTTGAGCTACCCTTTCAAAACCATCCCTTTCCTGCCGACCATTTATGCCAAATACAAAATTTTAACCACCCACCGTCACCTTTCATTCCCTTTCTTTTCTCACCTTCCATCACCTTACCTTTCCTTTTCTTTCCTCCCTTTTCCATTGCACCAAACTGACCTAACCCTAGCTGCGCGTAGATAGTAGAGTCCTGCCGACAAGTTGCTCTTCCACATCGGCGAAGACTAGTCTCTCCCTCTCCCTCTCCCTCGCTAGTCTCTATCTATATCTTCGCCATATTTCCCGCGATCTCGCACCTCTCCATTTGGATGACTGAACGAGAAGTGAATTCTGAAGCAATGATCAAATTGGTGGAGGTTAGTGGCGATTTATTGTTCTAGATTTGAATTTATGATTATATATAATAGGAATGTTCATGCATATACACACGAAATATCTTGTTCTATATATATATGTGTGTGTGAATGTACACACATATATATATATGTGTTCCACACACAAAATCTTTTCCTCTGAGGTTGTTTACCTAATCGAGCGGATCATGGGGAAGCTGGAGCCGAGCTCGGATCTTTTTTGTGAACCAACCCCGGCTAGATTGACCGTTTGTCTTTGACCAGTAGGTGCAAAGTGTGTTACTGTCAATCAAGTCTAACACGAACCAGTCACAAGTGCATTCACTTGAGAGTTAAAGCAATTTACTAGTCTCTCTTTAAATTCGACAACGCCCCTTTTCTATCTGTTGTATTTGTTCTTCTTTGCCCTGTTCATCAATATTCTCATTTATGCTATCTACCTTTCAAATATTTAATTCTTTGATCTTTATAATTTAGGTGCTACCAAATTTCCCAATCACAAGTGGGAAAAAAAAAAAAAAATCCCAATTGCAAAAAAGGTAGAAGTTTATTGGATTGGGCGGTGTCGGTAAAAAAAACAGGTACGATGCATTTTACATTTTTTGTTTGTTCTTGTCACATCTTAATAATTGTTTTTTTTTTTTTTTTCTTTCAATGTTTTGGAAAAAATTTATTGTATAACTAAATTTGCCCCATCGCTCGCTTTATTGTTGTTTTTCATTGAATTATAGATCAATAATTGTACCATTCTAGAAAGTTATTCCAAATTCTTCTTACCGAATTTCTTGAAAGCTTTTTAGTTTTTTTTTTTGCCCTGTGAGATGCTACATTATCTGTTTAATTAACCAAATGTTAGAACACGATATTCACGATAATAAGCTTTTAGTCAATTATTTTTATCTTTTCTTTGACATGAAAATTATTTCTTACATCCTTTATTAACACTAGGCCATTAGATCATGACCAAATTTGACTGACTTATTTATTTGTGCATACTTGTTAATCATTTCATTACCCACAAACCGTATCTTACCTAAACTGTTCAATGGAAATTTTATAAATAAATTAATGAGCAGTGAGTTGAAAATCACTAATTCACAGATTTAATTTTATTTTATACACGCGCGTATTTACTTTTGCATATGTAATTTTTTAAAATTTTATTGAAGGCCCTTTCGAAAATTCTGTATTTCTAAAACTGCCCGACTGCTTTTGACCTTCTTAATGTTGATAGGGTTTCTTCACTTAGCAAACCAATCAAATCTTATTCAACATTTCAAAATGATAGATTTTTAGTCACATAGTGACCATGTTTTATGTATGTAGCTTCGGGATAGTGTAGCTTTGGCCATTGACACCAAATCTCATTCAACATTTCAAAATGATAGGTTTTTGAAGGTCTTATGGTCCAAGGTAATGCTTTATGGCTGATAACATGGGGTTAGCTAGAATAAAGAAATAATGTCCACTATGAAACAAACATTCACACATGCACGTCTTTGTTCAATTTGTCACTCCCAACAAGGGCAAGTTTGAGCTGATCCGTGGATTGCATGCAAAGTGTGCATGCATATGGGCCACTTCTAACAAATTCTCCCATGAGAAGGCCTTATTTGAGAACTCTAAATGCAACTACAGTACGTTACTTTTACACTTCTCTTTCTCACTTTATATGGCTTTATGTTCAAATATTAATTTTGTTTCCCAATCTTTAACTGTAGATTTGTCTGTTATCAACAATTAGTTTAATGCCACAACATGAGGTTGCACCATATGGTGAGGAAACTAGAAAGTGCACAATATTTGAAGAAGATTATTGGAAAACTGGTTGTAGATAGGAATGGGAGTGTCTGTTGTTGGTTCCTCTTAGCCCATATTACATCGAGTGTAAATTTGACGATTATTTTACCCGGGGGTTGTAGTTTTTAATTAAATCCCAGGCATTGATGCAATGCAAACATAGTGGAAGCCTCTTGTCTAAGTTAGACTTGGTGCCTGTTTGGATTAGCTTCCAAAATACTGCTCTTGGCTTTTTGAACTCAAAAGCCATTTTAAATTTGAAGAGTGTTTGGATTACTAGATTGAAAGAGCTTTAAGCCCCTAGAAGAGCGTTTAGATGAAGCCAAGGGGGGCCAGCTTTCAAATTGAGAGCTTTCGAGAAAACACGGGAAGATGAAATGAACTTAAGTAAAACTTTTATAATGGTAATATTGCCCTCATATTTCAGACAAAAAAATAAAGAATTCCACCCCTATCCCACATTAATAATAATCGCTCTTCCTTCTTCACCACCGCCTCCTCTCCTCCACCATCTGTGAACCGTCATACCTCAATTTTTTCTCGGCATAGCAAGGCTCAAGTCCATAGGGCTCTATATGAATTATGTTCAATGTCTGATCTCTTAATCCTTAGAAAACATATCCAATATATATATATATATATATATATATATATATATTATTGCCTACATCATTGTTGTATTCCTTAGCCTTCATATGAGGTAATCTATCACCCAAAACATCTTTTTGTACTCCAAAATTGAGGATTCTTTATATTGATACGTACATTGTTCATTGATGATTCTGACATATTGAAATAAATGACCATTATTTGGTGATTCTAAATTCCTGTTTTCGTAAGTGCCAAAGTTGTGCTTATATGTATATTAATGTATATTGATCTTCTGATTGTGAATTCATTTTTATTTGCTTGTTTCTAGTGCTCTTTTTGACACGTTATTTGAATTGTTCTGGCATAATAATACGGTCACAAATTCTTTTGTTCAGTAGTATTAAAAAAAACTAATAAAACATAGAATGAAAGATAATTCAATGAGGTAAATTTACAACAAATTCAACTTCAGAATTGCAGTTTTGCAAGGTTTTAGCTTGGTGGTCGGGTAGTAGCTTGTTGCCATGGGAAAATCACCTTTTTGCCTTTGGAGAGGCAGTCGGTATTCATTATTAGCTTCGTATGCCTACGTCATTGTTCTATTCCTTAGCCTTCATATTAGATAATCTATCACTCAAAACAGGTTTGTTATCCTGTTGGTTCTAGTTGTAATTTCTCGTAATATTACAAGTATAGCATTCCTGTTCCTAGACAAAATCATTTACAATCATTTACAGTTGTAACATTTTTGGTTTTTTTTTTCTCTTAGCTGAGTCTTGGGGAAGCTATTTTGGTAGGATCTTCGGGCGCTTCACAGGTGAAGCTGTTGTTGCTCCTGTTGAAGATGTTGCAGATAAAGCTGCTCCTGCTTAATTTGTTGCATAATTTATCTCAAGATCTAGACTTTTGTTTGTCTTCCCATTTAAGGGTAATCTCGCCATTAAGATGTATATTCTTCCTTTTTGCAAACAAAACACTCTAGACTTTTGTTTATCTCCCCCATTTAAGGGTAATCTCGCCATTAAGATGTATATTCTTCCTTTTTGCAATCAAAACGGCTGCGTTTTCTATATAAGTTTTCTGTTTCTTTATTTTTTTGGGATCAAACTCTACTTGACGAGGTTGCGTGTCCGCCACACGATGGCGCAGCGGACAGAAGAAAGGTAATGATGGGTTTTTAAAAAATGTGTTTGGTATAAAAGGTTAGGGAAGGAAGGAAAATGGAGGGTTTTGGAAGGATATAATAAAGCTTAGAGAATAATTTTTACTATCCTCCAAAAAATGGGAGGAGGAAATGGAAGGGAAGTGGAGTGGAGTGGCTAATTTGATCTAGCTAATACTAAATTTACCCTTAAAACAAAATTAATATTTCACTGGGATCCTATAACATATTTTACTCATGAAACAAATGCGCAAAATTACTACATGTGGGAACCAGGCGCCAAAGCTTACAATTAAGAAAGATAACTTGATCTGTGCTACAGCACAAGCAGTCACGTTTGTTTGTTTGTTTCTTTTGCTTTTTAACTTGCATAAGTAGCCTTGACGTTAACATACAATATGGTGTCACAATTAGGAAATAAATGTTTTTCAATAAGACCTCCATGGGTGGTGTTTTTTGTTTGTTTGCTTGTTTGTTTTTATTTTATACCATTTATTAAAAATAAAAAAAAAATCAGTTTTTGATATTGGAAAGTACCCAGTTTATGTTGGTTCATTTCTTCAGTTTCATACCAATCCCTTGCTGTACTTGGCTTATTGGGTCGAGTAGTTGGAATCGTGTTGGTTCCTGTTGTGGATCTGGTGCTTTTTATTGTAGGAAGTTTATTTTCTGGTTGAATTGGGCAGTCACGGTGGAAAGGTTATATTGTTTGTGTGGTGTGGGTGGCTTTGATCATAGGTTTTCGAAACGTTTGTCCCTGGGAGTCTGCTCGCCTTGCCGCTATTGCTTTTGGGGTTCCTGTTGGAGTTCTTGCTGGATCGGTTGATGGATTGTCCGGTGGCATGTTCCATTGATGTTGTGCACGAATCCCAAGCATTATCTCAAGCGTATGGAGTACGTGAGGACGATGGAACTAGGGGTGCACACGGTTCCGGCTGGCCGGAATCGGAACCGGAACCGTTCACGACGGTTCCTTGAAAACGGAATTGGAACCGGAACCGTATAATTTGGAACGGAATCGCATGAGAACCGACTATTTTCTTCACAGGCTTGGTGGGTGTAGATCAGAGATGGTGTGTGGGTGTAGAATGTAGATCGAAGAAGTCGTGTGACCGTGTTGCACTTTTTTGTCGTTGATTGACGAGAAGATGAGAGGATAAGATGGTGTGTGAGCCACTGGGTGTAGATCGGATCATCGGAGAAGCCGAGTGACTTGAGTGAGGAATGAAGATAAGGAAGCTTTGAGATGGGGGAGGGCGATGATGAAGCCTTTGAGATGGGGGAGCGCGATGACGAAGCCTTGAGACGAGGAAGGGCGATGACGAAGCTTTGAGCCTCTGAGATGGGGGCGGCGATGAGAATGAGTGTTGACAGATTGTGATTCTGATGAAATTAGAAATGAGATTTAGTTTTGTTTTGTGAAAAGTGTGGACCACGTGGCTGCCTTTGCCTATTAGTCACTTTAGTCTTCATTCTTCAGTTACTTTTGACTTTAGTTTATTAGTTATATAACAAAATTAAATATATAATACATATTATATATATATATATATATATATATATATATATATATATATACGGTTTCGGTTCTTACCGGTTCCCACGGGCTGGAACCGGAACTGGAACCGTATGTCAACGGTTCCGAATTTAGGAACCGGGACCGGAATAGGAACCGGAACCGTGAGAACCGTGAAAAACGGTTTCGGTTCCGGTTCCACGGTTCCAGTTCTTTTGTGTACCCCTAGATGGAACACGCCTAGTGGGCCGGGTTTCAGACTACTGTTGGGCCTCTGTTTCAAATATGGTGTTGGGTTCTGGGCTGAGCCCAATTCGAGACAGAATTTTGACTTGGCTTCTACTGAATTGGGCCGAATGAATTCTTTTCTCCCTAGGATTCAGCCTCTGAGTCGACAACTTCCTTCTCCCAGCTGTATAGTGTCTTCTTCAGGTACCTCGAATGTCCATTCTTTTAATAATCTTCTTGATGTGTCTCAATGCATGTTTCATCATAATTCTCTACTACTGTTGGTGTGGAATTGTCAAGGGATTGGTAATCCTATTACTGTTAGACAACTAATGAAACTTCAAAGGGCTCACTGCCCGGATGCTATCACTCTCCTTGAAACTAAAACTGGATTGAGAAAACTTCAATGGTTGAAAAGACGATTAAAGCTGGATTTCGTTTGGTGTGTGGATTCAGTGGGGGCGGCTGGGGGTATAGCTTTGCTTTGGCGGGTCGATAACTTGTTTCAAATAGTTGATTTTTGCGAGTATTAAATTACAATGGAGCTTTGTTCAGTTCGGAAGGGCTCTTGGTTCCTTACTTTCATTTATGCTAGTACTGATGATGGCATTTGTTTGGTCCAGTGGGAATATCTTAAGAGAATGCAGCGTTCGTGGGGTGCTCGATGGCTTATTATTAGTGATTTTAATGATTGGTTATCTCCGTTGGAAAAATGAGTTGGTGCTCCTAAACCATATTGGGTTCTAAAGAATTTTGCAAATTTGGTGAATGATTGTGGGTATTGAATTTGGGATTTGAAGGATATCCAGTTACGTGGTGTAACCACCGTTGTGGCTTTGCCAATATTAAGGAACGTTTGGATCGTGCTTTAAGTGGTAATGATTGGTGACAGATATTTCCCCAGGCTCAACTCCGTCATCTTACGGTGGTGGGGTCTGATCATTGTGCTATGCTTCTTGATCTTTTGCCGGTTTTTCATGAAATCTTGCTAATTCCATTTTGATGCACAATGGGTGTCTGACCCTATGTGTGATGACATTGTTAGGAATGCTTGGTGTGTTCTAGTTTCTGGGTCTCGTTTGTTCTTGTGGTTTGAAAAACTCAAGTCTTGTAAAAGATCATTGATCCAATGGGCTCGGAATAAAGCTTTTAATTCTCTGCGACAGATTGAACAAGCTGAACTTAGATTGCAACAATTGAAAGAGAACCCAGATGACTACGATTCTGAACAAGTTAATACAATGGAATGCCAGTCACAATCTTCTTGGCATCAGGAGGAATTATACTGGTTTCAGAAGTCTCGGCTTCAATGGTTGCAGTTGGGGGCTAAAAATTCTAAATTCTTCTATACATCTATTATTCTTAGGCGAAGGCAAAATCATATTTTTGGGAAAGAGGATTCCTCTGGTAATTGGATTGAAGAGGATTCCCAGATCCAGGATATCTTTCTTTCTTATTTTCAGGATTTGTTTCATTCAAATGACCTAGTGGGTATTGATCAATTTCTCTAGCACATTCAGCCATGCGTTACTCCTAATATGAATAATAGCTTAATTTGACCGCCTTCTGAGGAGGAAATTCATTGTGCTATTTTTGATATGCAGCCATGCAAAGCTCCGGGTCCTAATGGTATGACTCTATTATTTTATCAGCGATATTGGCATCTTATTAAACCAGAGATCATTGGTGTGGTATGTAGTTTTATGCATTCGGGTCATCTTTTATCTAGTATGAATCACACAAACATCGTCTTAACTCCTAAAATTGAATCCTCAACCCATGTTTTCCATTATAGACCAATATCATTATGCTCTGTTGCTTATCGGATCATTGCTAAGGTGCTTGCTAACACGCTAAGAGAATTTCTTCCCTCTATTATTAGTGAATCTCAGAGTGCGTTTGTTCCAAGACGCCAAATTATGGATAATATCCTGATTTCTCATGAGATTCTACGCTATCTTAAGAATAAACGTAAAGGTCAAAAAGCATTTCTTGCCTTGAAGTTGGATATGAGTAAGGCTTATGATCGTATAGAATAACCTTTTTTGTTGGCCATGCTTGTGAAATTGGGTTTCCATGCTCATTGGATTAAATTAGTTAATGCTTGTATCTCTACGGTTTCGTATTTTGTGATGATTAATGGTAGACCTATGGGGCTATTTTATCCTACGCGAGGCCTCAGACAAAGGGATCCGTTATCTCCCTATTTATTTATTTTGCGTGCAGAAGCTCTTTATCATTCTTTGCAAGTGGCCCTTTAGCATCGAGTTTTATCTGGGATTCGTGTTTGCCCCTAGGCTTCATCTATTTCTCATTTGTTTTTTGGGATGATTCAATTATTTTCTGTCAAGCCTCTACTACAGAAATTGTTTTTCTTAAGAATCTTTTACAGATGTATGAAAGGGAATCTGGGCAGCAGATTAACTTTTCTAAATCTTCTATTTTCTTCTCTTGTAATACTTGTTTGGAGGATCGTGTTGCATTGTGTCAGTTACTGGATAAGCAAGAGGAAGGTCTGCGTGCCAAATATTTGGGTATGCCTGCGATTATTGGACGTTCCAAGTGGGATGTTTTTCAATATATCTCACAACATGTTGCCATTCGATTAGCGTCTTGGAAATCTCCGCTCTTATCTCTAGCAGGTAAAGAAATTTTAATTAAATCAGTTTTGAGTGCTTTACCCACATATGTCATGTCATGCTTTAAGCTTCCCCGTAAACTTTGCAATTTAATTATGTCTGTAGTTTTTGGTAGGGCAAAGATGGTGATTTTGCCCATATCAATTGGGTTAAATGAGATCTTTTATGTGATGCTAAAAATGAAGGGGGGAGGGGTGGTTAGGATTTCTCAACTTTGAGGCTTATAATGATGCTTTGTTAGCTAAGCAGGGTTGGAATTTTCTGGTCCACCAAAAGTGGATGGCTTTTAAGATTTTTAAAGCCAAATATTTTTGCAATTGTTCCTTTTTGGAAGCGCAGTTGGGATCCAATCCTTCTTGGGCTTGGCGTATTATTTGGTCTACTTAGTCTCTCATTGCTGTTGGATCCAAATGGATTGTGGGGAATGGGCTATCTATCAACATCTGGAATGATCGGTGGTCCCTAGTGATCTTGGTAAGTTGGTTCGACCTCTTCATTTGGTGCTTCCTGATCTTATGGTGGAGTTATTCGATTCTCAGCGGACTA